ATTCCCCCCTCTCTCTGCATTCTATGTGTTTTTGTAACAAAATTTTTTACAATTTTTTTACAAATATTTTTACAGATTCTTTTACAAATTTTTTTTCAAATTTTTTAGAATTCAATTGAAACCCCTCAAGTTTTGTTGCAAAAAAAATGTTGCCAAAAACAACCCAAACAACCCCAATGATGATGATGATCTTCCTCAAATCTGAAAGTTTTTTTTTAAAAATTTGAACAGGAATGGTTCGATCTTTGTTGTGTTTTTGAAGTTTTGGACGGGTAATGTTTTTTGAAATGAACGTATCATCTTGAAAGCATGTTGTGATGTGTGAATTTTGTTTAATTGTATCTTTGATAAAATAAATAAGTACTCCCTCTGTCCCAAAAAGATTGTTACGTTTCATTTTTTGCGCATCCCTTAAAATACTTTTATATCGTCTCAAATGCCAAAAAAACTTTCAAAACAATTTCATCTTATAATAAAGAGTAGGGGGCTGTTTGGCAACTTCTGAATGGGTAAGTGCTGAACCAGTAAGAGGTCTGAACCATTAAGTGCTGAACCAGTAAGAGGTTTGAACCATTAAGAGCTAGTATATTGCTTAACTATTCAGAGGCAAATGTCTGATCAATTCAGATAAGAGCTCTTAACCATTCAGACTCTGTATAATACTTAACCATTCAGAGGCAAATCTCTTAACCATTCAGACATCTGAACCATTAAGTGGCTGAAACAAACAGTCTGAACCATTAAGTGCTGAATCATTCAGACATCTGAAACATTAAGAGGCTGAAACAAACAGCCCCTAAATATGGTAAATTTTAGAATTTTTAGATGTGAGTAGCATTGCTTTTTGTGATGCGCAAAGAAATGAAATGTAACGATCTTTTTGGGACGGAGGGAGTATTATTTTAAACAAATTGATCATAGCGGTGTAAAAAAATTTGATTCCCCTGTTTTGAACCAAACACGAACAAAGGGAATTTTATTCCCTTTCCTGCACTTAACCAAACAGACAGAGTAATTCAGGGGTAATCTTTCCCTTTCCCCCTGATTCCCTTTCCTGTTTCCTTTCCCTTTCCTCAGCATGAACCAAACGCCCCCTTAGGTGTTTGTATGAATGCCTCAATGGAATACATCTGTTTGTGTCACTGTTTTTTCTTGTATGCTATGAATCTCTTGATTTTGTATAAATTGTGAAGGGATGTTTTGACACTCCATAGTATATGCTTTTAATGAATTATTTTAGGTTGGTTTATGGGCATTACAGTTGGTCTTTCACCGAGTTCCACCACCTGTGAACTTAGAAACAAGTCAATAACGTTATAAGTAAATGAAGTTGAAGTATGGAACAATTATGCAATTTTAATTTGGATGGCTGGTGTTGAGACTCAGTAGTGTTTACTTTTATGGTGAAGCGGGTAACGGGAGAAATAAGGCGGCTAATCTTATTAATACAATGCTGCACGAACTCTTACTTGCTCTATTGGGTTATACCGGAGATCTCATTATTGATCAAAGAGAGCACCAACAATCACTTGGTGTGAAGTTGGCTCCCGACACACCAATTGGCGAAGA